GAACCTAATATTGCTGGGTCCTTTTACCTAGTAGGATCCGATAGTGGTGGGCCTTGTTGCCTAGCAGGACCCACTAGTGCTAAGCTCTAATGCCCACCATGACCCTATAGCTTTGGTCGAGTTTATTTCATTTAAAATTCAGGCTTGTAATTGGCTCATAGTAAGCTAGGTGACATGCCGAGTTAACCTGACTCAGGTGACTTGGAAAAAACCTATGAAAACCTTTTTTTTTTCAAAAATATTTTTTTATTCTACCCAAATACCTTTTTTTCATATTTTTCAATTAGTTACTAACTCATTTCAAAATTAAATATATAAATACTAGAAGAATGTTTTATTTTTTTAATTTGGATTTAAAATCTTTTAGTATATATACTCTATACTCACAAGAAAAAAGTTATGTTTTTTCATTATAGGATAATAAAACTTTTTTGTTTAAATACTTCAACTTAAAATAATAAGATAGTATCTTTCAATGTGAGATAAAAAATCTTTTGAAATAATCTTTTAACTTAATTATTTACAACATGTATGGCCTATATCCACATAGATTATTTATTAATTTTTTTTATATAAAATATTAAAATATCAAATATTTTTTAAAAAATTTTCTGGGTTATCCCGAGGCTTGCCCGAATCTATTTCATTAAAAAAAAATGTTTGTAATTGGCAAGGAGCAAACCAATCGACCCACCGGGTTAACTCGAAACTCAAGTGAGTTGATAAAACCTTTTTTTTTTCAATTAAACCCATCACTATTAGGTCTGAGTTGGTAGTAGAACCCAATATTGCTAGGTCCTTCTACCTAGTAGGATCCGATAGCGGTGGGCCTTGTTGCCTAGCAGGAGCCACTAGTGCTAAGCTCTAATGCCCACCATGACCCTATAGCTTTGGTCGAGTTTATTTCATTTAAAATTCAGGCTTGTAATTGGCTCATAGTAAGCTAGGTGACATGCCGAGTTAACCTGACTCAGGTGACTTGGAAAAAACCTATGAAAACCTTTTTTTTTTCAAAAATATTTTTTTATTCTACCCAAATACCTTTTTTTCATATTTTTCAATTAGTTACTAACTCATTTCAAAATTAAATATATAAATACTAGAAGAATGTTTTATTTTTTTAATTTGGATTTAAAATCTTTTAGTATATATACTCTATACTCACAAGAAAAAAGTTATGTTTTTTCATTATAGGATAATAAAACTTTTTTATTTAAATACTTCAACTTAAAATAATAATATAATATCTTATTAATGTAGAATAAAAAATCTTTTGAAATAATATTTTAAATTTTATTATTTACAATATATATAACTTATATTCACATGAATTATTTTTTAATTTTTTTAATTTAAAATATTAAAACTTTAAATATTTTTTTTAATTTTTTTAAATTAACTCGGAATAATTCATATAATCCAAGATCTGATTTTTTAATCGGGTGAATCTCCAAATCAAGCATGATAACTATTACCAAAACTATAAGTTGTCCCTTGGTCTAATCCGTTTACTCATTTTTGAATTTCTAATTCGAGATGTAATATAACGAGCACATCCACTTTAATAGGAAGCATTAACAGAACTAAAGAATAGTTCATTCAAAAAGTATCTTTTTTCTTTGTTTTTTTCTACTTTTTTTATCCTTTTTTTTAATTTTAATTTACTTTTTTTAAAATCATTTTCTAACTTAAGATAAGATTTGGGGAATAAGTTTGTTTTATATGAATTATCTTAATTTCATAAATTGGATCATGAATTATGCAATTTAACTAAGTTGGCTTGGTTTTTTCATAATTTTGTTTTTATAATTTTATTATATAACATTGAATTAATTAAGAATTAATCTTTATAATTTATTTCAGTTTATTTTTTATGAGGTTATTTTAATTTCATAACTCAAGTCATAAGTTTAGTAGATTAACTTGAATTGACTTATATCTTTTTTTAATTCTTTTGATTGGGTTTTTTTTTTATATTTCATCCATCAACATTGGATTGATTAGAACTTAAACTTTATAACTTATTTTCAATTCATTTTTATTGGATTATCCTGGTCTAATAACTTGGATTTAACAAGTTAACCTCGATTAACTTGAGTCATTTTTTAATTAATTTTTTTCAATTTCATCATTTAATATTGAATTAATTGAGAATTAAGCTTTAAAATATTTTTTGATTTGTTTTCTATGAGATTATCAAAGTCTCATAATCCAGGTCATGAATTTTAAATATTAACCTGGATTAACCTAAGTTGATACAATATATTGGTGTCTTAATACTTAAAAAAAAATTATCCTAAAGTTTTTTTAGTCAAATTATATTTTTTTTATGCTTGTTCATATTGTTTTTGAACTTTTCAAGTTGACCAGACCATATCTAAAAATTTCTTGAATGATTTAATTTTTTAATTGAAAACATGTTAGCAACATCCAAATATTTTTTTAATATTTTTAAAAAATTAATCCAACCCATTACATAACAAAAGAAAATAATCTAGTATCAAA